GAGAATGGAGGAAATGGTTTGCCCAAAGAGACCATTTGGCTTGTTTAAAACTCTTTCACCGTCGAAAGAGAATTCGCCTCATGCAAAAAGTTAGCTTGTTTATAAAAAAATTGACAGATTCATACTTTATTTTGATGACATATCTTCTTACGCTCATACCTATATCGTGTCAAAGATGACTTGAAAGCGATAGAACTTCTGATTCCATGGTTTGTTGGCAGCACGAAAACAAGAACAATCTTATTTACAGAAGTTTCAGCGTTTCGGTCCTCATCAGGAAATGAACAACATTGTAAACAACTGTTGCGTCAGTTCGTGTTTGATCTGACTAGTAGAATGATTAGCTGGACGCAATTTAAGCAATTAATCAGACTCCAGCCCGCTGAAACGTAAGTGGAATCGATACAACCATCACAAGTTCTATTTTTGCTGGCTGCGATATGAACCGATTCTTTGATTATTAACTTCACCTTGTCCGGGTATCGATTGACCACCTTGACATCACTGTTGTTAAAGTCATTACCATTTTCTAGGGCATGAGCAACAAAACTAGAACGATCAGCGTTACGGTACCTGATGGCTCTTCTGTGCTCCGTTAATTAGTTTTTCAGAGTTTGCCGGGTCTTCATGATATAAATCTGAATACAGCTGTTGCATGCAATTTGATAGACAGCTTTTTTATGCTCCAAGCTGTGTGAGCTTCTATCAAACTTCTAGTACAAAAAGTTTTCTAAAGTTTTGTCCCGCAGTATGATCATACTACTGTTTTTAGTATCGTCTAATTTCTTCGGATATGCCTATGAAGATACCTAATTACAATCAAAAGAAGGGGGAGATCCAACTTGTTGTTTAACTACATAATTTATTGAAAATTTTATAAATACGTTTTTAAAGAATGTTAATCAGAGATGCTTGATTTCACCCCTGACGACTGCAATAGTTTAGAGCTCTATGACACATGAATTTCATGATATTAATGAATGCAGATTTAGGAGCGTAAAATGAAGTGTTAGGGTAACGGTTAGAGTGCTTTGGCTTTATATATGCTCTGAAGGATAAAGTACAAATAAAAAATAATTCCGATCCATTAAATATGAGTTCTTTGTCAGTATACGATAACGTTGTCAGAGAATGTTTGCTGGATATGGTTTTCGACATTTTTTTTTCAAGAGCAAAACGAAGTGAAAGAATGCAGTTATTACATCGAGTAACCAAAAGGCATTGCCTCCTTAATCACTGTAATGATCTACCATGTTTGTTTTAAAATTGATGGTGTAATTTACCGTACCGACAGCGTTGCAGTATCCAAATGGGTTCGCCGGTTAGTGTAGTCTTAGCCAAAATCTGCATTAATTATCTGGAATCGAATACCCTAGCGTTCTTCCCCTCACTTCATTGCTACAGTTTATTTAACGCGTATAGATGGCATGTTCGTTTTGCATAATAATCCTAATCATTTTCACCTACTGCCTGAATATTTAAATAACCAAGATCCTAATAACCGTATAAAATTCTCTTAAGAGCACAGTAGGCAGATGGTGTTTTTTGACATTCGTATTCAGCGAGATGCAATTGGTACATTTTCCTTTATGGTATCTGGAAAGGCACAACGCTGTAAAACAATCTTAAATGAAAATATGATTATGCTGAAATTTCGAGTCAGTGATTAAAATTGAAGTATATTTCAGTCCTGTATGTATGTTACACCGTTTTACTTGACAGGTGATACATCGGACCATTCCGAGTAAATCTTTGACATTTTTCAATTGTTTTTGTCAAATGTTACTCCGTTCATCAGAGCGATGACATAATAATATTAATTTAGCGGAAATATTTATATCATTGCTGTCTGCCAAGTAAATGGTGCTAGAAAGCTATTTCTGGTTGAAGTACGAACCCTGGGGCTTGAATATAAAGTGTCACTGAGAGAGCACAACGAGCTCAGCTTTTTCCATGATAGGAAAAAATATCAGATATGTTTTATAGTGTAATTGTACATATATCAATCCACACTACTTATGTATGTTTTTTTCTTATGGTCTGATCTTGTTTTAGCGGAATGCGCTGCTTTAACGCAGGAATGCCTCAGTCTCACAAAGCGCCTTGCGCGAGCAGAAAGCGGGATGAAATCGTAAGTTGTGCGACTAGGCATGAAGGTAAATCAGCAGATTATTCCGTTGTGCGTTTGATTTAGGTCAGAAATTGAAAACGAACGATTAGCAAGCTATTCAGCTGAGCTACAACGATCTATCGATAAACTTAAAGAAGAAAATCAAAGGCTGGCGGCAAATGAATCGTCATATCGTTACCAGGTAGAATGCGCCAAATACGAGTTGGACACCTTTCGCAACAAGGTATTTTTTCAAGTCTAATAAATCTTCGGCATTTTAAGAAACACGATCGAATTTTGTTTATGTTTTTATCCTAGTAGAGCTGAATTTTATTTGTCTTAAAATGTTCGTTACCTCAAGCCTTAGAAAAAACATTAGATCAGTATATAACACTAGGGTGTATATTTCGGTGCCTTTCTTGGTTTCACGGTTCATAAATGACTCTGAAGTACATGATATTACATATTGCAGCGGCAGATTTCCAACTGTAACTATTTCGTGACTGCATATGTTGTTTATAAAGGTATTCCTGACTGACAGCAGCTAAATAGAGTCATTGCCGACAATATGAAAGCGGGATGCTGTAAACACCATCCATTATAAAAATGTGCTAAGAGCGTAATATCTCAATAGATGCAAATTTTTTGCAAAGTAGGTAAGAAATGTTGTGGGCTTCAGGTATGGATTGCAGTATGCTTGCCTGCTTTCCAGTGTAGGTCAGATGTCTGAACTTCGTATTTTCGTTTCATTAAAAACGTCTTAATTTAGTTATGCGAAGCTAACGACGAGCTGATGAGTGTACGCCTGTACACGGCAGTAACGGACGAAGAAAACCCATCGCCATCTTCTGACACTGCGATAGACACTCAGGCGGAAGATCTGATGTTTCAAATGCGGATCGTGAGATGGCTATGACCGCCGTTGTGTGTCTTCTCATTCACTGTATTTCAGGTGTGCCTGTTTTCCGTAATCCCTCTGTTCGTGCTACTAGTTGCATGTCTAATGGCGTTCTTTCCCACTTTGTCGAACATCACCGGGACGTGGGATGGTCCTGCCTATCCGTCGCCCTAAAGTTTCTTGCCACGAGTCTTGCTGCTGCCGGTCGCTTTGGAGATCCATTTGTTCAGCGTCCTAGAGACGACCTATTCTGCTGTTATCGTTTCGTTTTACAGTGAAATTGTCCAGCTTGTTTCTTTGTAAAATTTTTCAGTTTTGCTCTGGCTAATTGACTTGTATAAACCTGCCATTTTGTACTCATATTGTTTTGTTTGTTGTCGACAATGGCAAATACCATTACTGTCTTGCGATTAGAGTGCTTTCCGTAATTGACTCGCTTGCATGCCTGATACCTAGCATGATCGTTAGATTAAATCATTATGAACAAGGATCTGGGTGTTTATGCATCAAGATCACTTGAACCGGCAGTTAATCGGCGAAGAATCGCTCTGACGCATCACGACAGTCATTCCTGTCGGTTTCATCCTCTCTCCAAGCGCAGCCTATCCGGTTTTTGATATAATATTCCCATGTTGTGGTAGAGAACAAGCTGTCTAGTACGTTTGTGAGGATACCAGTCAACGATCATCGTCCGATGGTGTGATTGACCCACTATAGCTTCTCCATCCTGCTTTCGACGACAACCATTCATTCCTGCCCGATCACTGTTTTGCGAACGTGGTAACAATACGATATTCCTAATGTTTTTCATTCCCTACCTCTCTCAGTGATACCTAGCACTTAAGCTTTATTGAGTGACTCCGTCTTAGCCATACAGTGTTGCCGTCGGGGCGGTAGAACTAAAGACGTGCGTGCAGGTTTCTTTCCTGATATTGCCTAGAAGGAGATCTTTGATGGAATACAACACGCGCAACTGGTCCTCTTTCGCCATTGGATCTCTCCAACCCGATCATTCTGCTTGTTGATCTTATGATGTAGATAAACGTATTTATCCACTTCTTCGATTTTCCCCCGTTTAATATTTGGGCCTTTGACAAGGCATCTGGTCATAGTAATGTTATTAGCGGTCTGATTCGCAGTTCGGCCTCAGCAATTTCAGCATTTCTTGTATTTGACGGACGTTTTGCGCAAACAACACCAGATCATCAGCGAACCATAAATTGCTGAGCTGTTCATCACTGGGGTTAATCCCTAACTTGCAGTTTTTCCTCCAGAACACCATTTCCAAACATGGAGTAAGTAATGGCATTCACTGTTACACGCCCTTCTCTGCCGTAATCCTGAGGGAATGTCGAACAGCGTGATGCTTGTGACGCAGCCATGGTTCGATTGTTTCAGAACTTTGATGTGACGAGTGTCGATGTCCTGTTCTGCCAGTCCAGTCCACAGTGCGTTGTACTTCACGGTGTCGAACACTGTATTGTAGTCAACGAAGGTGATGCACAGAAGGATCTGGTATTCCTTCGCGCGCTCAAGGATTTGACTTAGGTTAAAGTGTGCTGTAACGCTTCTGGAATTCATATGTTCTCTTGATCGCTGTTCGTCCAAACTTGTTGACTGCCTGTTGATAATTTTAGTGAACAGCTTGTAGATTTTTGAGAGCAGGCGGATGGTGAGTGATAGTTCTTCAGCTCTTCCTTCTTGAATAACATGACTGTTTTTGACTCATTCCAGTTTTATGATATCGTTTCTTTGCCAGGTAGTAGCCGAATCTCGCCACAAAAGCTCTCCCCTGTCAATCTTCTCTGATGATTTCAGTTGTCAAATT